CCGCAATGGTGGTGCTCTAGGCTCCTGGAGGGGGAGGGACAGGACCTCAGGCCCAAAGGGAGGAACTGCTGAGTCCCCGGCTACCCACGACCCTCCATAAAGCCCATTCTAAGTTCCTTCAATGCGCTCAGTCTGAGCTCAGCCACAGAGTGAATGAGGAAGTCCTACTGCGGTTATGGCGCCATATAGTTGATTGACCACAGCAGTGGCCTAATAGCAGGAGTGCCGACAGAATGGAGACTTTTTTAGCCAAGTTCCCAGCCACCCACCCCAAACACATGCATGTGCCCAAAAGGTACACGTTATCAGAACCGAAATCTTTCTGTCTCCGTTGAGCCAGCTAGCGTAAACAGGATGTCCTGCAGAAGAGAACAGGGGACCAGATGAAAGTGCTTGGGGCAGACACACAAGTGAAGTCTTTTAAAACTGCAGGCTTTTGTCTGTATGCATGCGGACAGCCTGGGGCAGACGCTTAGGAACATAGGCCTAGTCAGAAAACTGAACGGATTTTCATGGCTGTGCATGAATAGCATGTCTGTGTGAACATATGAACGTGTGTTTTCATTGTGCAGCTGTGAATGTGCAGGTATAGGGTGAAGACGTGTGTGTTCGGAGAAGGGTGGCTTGCTAAGGGATTTTGCTGCATTTTTAAAGCTCTCTCCCCCACCCTTTTAGTGCTTGCGCCCATCCTGCTTTTGCCAGCCTTTTCACACTGCATTATGCCCTGTGACGCTTTACCCAGCCAAGGGACTAGAATGAAAGGACTCTGCTTTGTAACTGGCTTGATGCACCATGCCAGGTACCAGTGGGAGTTGCTTTGCCTTATTTTCTGACTGTGCGCCCAATAAACCTTCAACATAGGGGTGATGCAAAGCCTACATCACGTCTTTGTGTCCCTCCCTCCCCCCCGTGGCATTTCACGATGAAGGCGCATACTGCATGCTAATCCCTGCAAACCAGCATGTCTGCTGCGTGGGGGACGGACACACACACACACACACACACTCTTTCTCCCTCCCCCCCCCCCCGCTCCCCTCCAACTTCACTGGGCAAGGAGACTGGCGCAGCGCTGCGTAGGAGTCTCTGGTCTGTGACTGGGTACTGCAGGTAGATCTCAAGACCATTTATGCAACTGCTAGCTCCCTAATTTGGGGGGGGTGCACGTTCATGGGCTCAATCTGAGAGCCTTTTGCTGCGCCCAAGCATTTACACAGGGACACGCCCGGGGAGACTGCAGCCCTGAGGTCTGTCTAAGCCAGCCACTTAGGGGGGGCCGCAAGATGCAACATTTCACAACTGAACCTAGTCTCACTGCACACTTCTTGAAGCCTTAAACCCAACCCAGGAGAGGCGCCACCTCTGCCCCACGTACACTGATGGAGACATGATTTGTAATAGCAGCAGCATGGAGAAAAGAAAGAGGCCCAGAGAGGTGTGCCAGACCTTGAATACAGACCACCCCGAGTTGAGTTAATGACTGGCACAGTGAGTGTGGCCTGTCTAAATCACACGCCGGAAGTTTTAAAGCATATTGAATTGCTTAGTCTTGCTCTTCTGCTTGCTATTTCTACCTGATTGACATTTACACCTAAGCAGGTTTTGGTGGGCGTCCAATGTAGCTCCTGCAGGATGTACCCCTGAGCTGAGCCGCTGGTACGGCAGGCTGTTGAATCTGGCTAGCAAGATTGATTCCAAAGTCTGTATTCCCCCCCCAGCCAATGAAAAAATTTCTTCAGATGGCAAATGCCCAAATCTCACTGCTGACGGCGCCGCCAGCCACATCAATACTGATTTGGGTCACTGAGGCAGTGCAAGCTTTTCGCGTGAGCTACTGCACTTTAGTTTCCCAGCAGAGTCTGGGCCACTGTTCTTATGGGTTGAAACCACAACAGAGCGAGCCATAGGAAAATACGCAGGCAAATGTAGCCTGGACTCATTTCCCAAGGATGACATGGGCCTTTCCAGAGCCTGGCACTAGCGAACGGCTGACGAAGAACTTGCTGCACCCGCCCTGGGGGATCATTTTGATGCTCTGAAATGTGATTCATGTTCCAATAGTGCTTCTGAAGTCTGTTTCACTTGACCTTTTTTCTCCCTGTGGGTGGGTAGTGCTGTGCCCGCTTGCAGTTGGTGCTGGGTGACTCATTGCTCGGAAGGCAGGATGGTGGGACGTGCGATAACGGAGGAGCGGGCACAGAAAGCAAGCGCCAAAGCACACCCAGCACCAGTTGCCAGAGTGCTTTTTTTGTTTGTTTGTTTGGGTTTTTTTTTTTTTTTGCTTTGACACATGCTAACTTCCTGTTCGGTTTGCAGGTTAAAAATACACCCCAGGATACGCCAGAAATTCAAGTGAAACTGTGAAGTGTGCTGCTTAGCACGGGGGAATGGACTGTGTCAGATGAAAAGTTTGACGCGTGCATCACAAGCCCGTCTGGGGTTTGGGGGCAGGGCGGGCGTGGTGAAGTTTCACTCTGGGCTCAGGGTTAACAAATGATTGTTTCTTACTACTGGGATGCGTGTGTGTGTGTGAGAGATGGAACCACGCTGGGGGGTGGGGGTGGGAGGGGACACTACAGCTCAGAAGCTCTAGAGAGCTTTTTTAAACAGAGGGTTGTTGGCCAATGTGGTGTGGGCTCCGGGGTTATTGGTGAGTCCAAGTGCGTGTTCCCAGAGAGCAGGAGCTTTCCGCCTATCCTTGTTCATTAGGGTGAAGCACCAGGGGTTAACAGCTCTGCAGCAAGCCCCCTACCAAAAAAGGGTGTAGGGCTGTGCCTGCTTGCCGGTGGTACGCAGCCCGGCAGGAACGTATGGGGAGGAGGAAAGCAGGGCCATGGGGCACAGTACTCCTCCGACCCCAGGGCCATGGCAGGCAGTGAGCAGAGCGCTTCCCGGCCCTGGGGCCACAGCAGGGGCACAGAATATGCCCCCACAAAGGCAGTCAAACAAATTCCTATGCACACCCCTGCGGACTGGCCTAGTTTTGAGGCTCTTAAATGTAGACTAGCACTAGAGTTTGCACAGCCCCCGTGCAAAGTATGGCATGCAGGATCCCATACCACTGCTTCCTTACGAGTAAACCAACCCCCCTCTTCCCCTTGCCAGCTCCCCACAGACACTTTTTGAGAACAGCCTTCCTTCCCCTTTCTGAGGCGCTGGAATCCAGCCTCAGCTCTGCACATGCTGCAGTATCCTATCCCCTGCAGTTTGGAGGAGCTACAGTTCAGCTGGTGTGGTCCTACTCCTTCACAGCACAACCAAGTTCTCCACAGGCATGAGAGAAGAGAGGGCTGTATGCTGAAACAGGACTGGCTGGACAGCCTGTCACTCGTGGGGAAATGGGACAAGCAAACCTGCCTCCGAGTGATGATGGGAGTTTGGTGGCATAGGCAGGGCCGGCTCTGGCTTTTTTGCCGCCCCAGGCAAAAAAGCCTCCTGCCACCCTCTGCCCCCCTGGTGGGGAGTGCAGCAGGGGAGGGCGCCGAGCCCAGCCGCGGCCCCACTCTCCCTGGCCGGCCGGAGCGCCGGGGGAGGGCGGCCCCGCTCTTGCCGGGGGGAGGGCGGCGAGCCCGGCCACAGCCCCGCTCTCCCCGGCTGGCCGGAGTGCTGCGGCTCCACTCTCCCCGGCGGCCAGAGCGCCGGGGGGAGGGCAGCGAGCCCGGCCAGGGCCCCGTTCTCCCCGACCGGCCGGAGCGCCGGGAGGAGGGCGGAGAGCCTGGCCGCGGTCCCGCTCTCCCCAGAGCGCCGGGGGAGGGCAGCGAGCCCGGCCGCGGCCCCGCTCTCCCTGGGTGAGCACCGCCCCCCTCCAGGTGCCACCCCAAGCACATGCTTGGAGGGCTGGTGCCTGGAGCCGGCCCTGGGCATAGGAATCTCGCTGTATTTTTTGCAGTTACTGCAGGTGCAGGCTTTTGGAAGAGGGCTCCATTAGACAAGCCTCTTGAGAGTTGGACGTAGGTCCGGGGTGGAGAGAATGCAACGCTGGCTCAGGTTAGCTACTGCAGTCTGTGGGGCATGTTCACAGAACAGCCTTGTTGGGAGTTTGTTGTTGGTCTATTGTGTTGGAGGGGTATGGGCTGCAAAACCTTCAGCCCTAGCCATCCTTGAGGACATTTATGCAGGTACATCTTTGAACGGGAGTGATGCCAAATACTCAGGATGCAGTTCAAACTAGAGACAATAACCATGTGCCAGTGATCAACAAATAAGCTGCTTTATTGAAAGCAAAGAATGATGGCTACCACAGGGTTTCCATGGTAACTATCGGGTGTAATTCCCTGAGAACACGTGTCATTTCTTTTCCAATCTATTTCTTTTAAACACATACTAGTTATGAAAAGCAGAGAGTGACGTTCCAGATACTGGAACACATAAATTAAGGTAAGTGATCGTTAGAAGACATTTCAATTTCATTTTCAAACAGATTCTCAGAAGGTTTTTTTTTTTCCGATCCACAGAAAATGTATAAAAAAATTTCAACCCTAGATCATTCTCAATGAACAAAAAAAACAGCACAGTAAAAAAAAATTACTGTCGCAATAAGGTATTTACAGACGCACCCATTATGGGCCATTTTCACTCAGCCTCTCATTGGAAACATACATTCTGCCTTTGCCCACTTATCCATGCAGAGAACAATTAGCCCTCACCCACTGGGCGAGGAAGGCTTAGGTCAATGTTAGTGCAGGAGCAGGGGATTTGCACAAGCCAGGAGCGTCTGTCCACTGGAGCAGGTTATGCAGCGAACTACAGTTGTCTCCCTTCAGCTGCTGATCCTCCATTGACCAGAGGGGGCACTGTTGAGCAGTGCAATGCGCTCCTTTTCCCAGATGCTAAGGCCACGTCTACACTACCCGCCGGATAGTAATCGATCTATCGGGGATGCGATAAATCGATCCCCGAATCGATGCCCGTACTCCACCTCGGCAGGAGGAGTAAGCGGAGTTGACGGGGGAGCCGCGGCGGTCGACTTGCCGCCATGAGGATGGCCAGGTAAGTCGAACTAAGATACTTTGACTTCAGCTACGCAAATAGCGTAGCTGAAGTTGCATATCTTAGATCGATCCCACCCCCTAGTGTAGACCAGCCCTTAGTACAGAGCTTCCACAGCACTAAGGCCCAGATCCTCACAGGGATTCAAGCTTCTGACTCCCATTGCGTTCAGCAGGCTAGCAACCATGATCCAGCATCTACCTTGAGTCTCCAACAGGCCCCCAGCTACTGGGCCAGCCCAGAAATGGTGCTTGGGAGAAAGGGGTGTTTCTTGACAGCTGCTTGCCCAACTTCTCTCCTCCCCTCAAGCTCAGTGGTGAATGGGACCAATAGCTGTGGCAAAGACTTATGCGTTCAGGGCCTACTGCTGATCTCACAATAGCGACGGGACTAACTCCATTGTAGCCAGTGGAATTGCAAGTGGGACACCCGCATCAGACCCTTAATGGCAATCCTCCCAATACTCTTTATTCACCCTCTGCCTGAGCACCTAATGCCCCCAGACAGACCCAGCCTGAATGTTTTCGCTCCACTGAACCTGAAGTATTCATTGGTATAGACAGTGCATTCTACATACGTTAATTAGCCCTGATAGACACTAGTGTTAGGGACAAAACATGTGTAGCACTTTTTCCCCTCCGCGAAGATGCTCCAGAGGCAAGGGTAAGTGGGCAGAGACTTTGCACTGAAGGGAGACATTATGTCTCCATATAAATATAGCATAAACATGGACACAGCATGTATGCATCTCTTTGCAACCCCCCCCACCCCCTTTATAAATGTCTTTAAATTATCCTATATAAATACTGCATAGCTTTATAGTACTGAAAATATTTCAGCGAGGCATAGGGAACTCCAGTGAACAGAGTTAACCTTGATTCTCGGCTTCCACCACCAACCCCTCTCCTTGCTCCTCTTCTCCCAGCCTGTCTCCCTTCAGTGCTACAGTGAGCTGGGATTCTGAGAGTCCAGCTCTAAACACCACAAAGTACAAAATTCCTCCAGGGCATTTCCTGGACTCGGCTCCAATGTGTCCAGAGAACTGCCCCAGGAGCCAGCAAACTTCCCCTGTTCCCCCCAAAATACAGCCAGCATAGGAGGGGAGCAAGAAAGGGGAGCAGAGGGGTGGAATTAACCCCCCCCTCCCACCACAACTATTATCAATGAACCTTCATCTGAAACAGTATCCGGAGCCGAAGGATGAAGGGTTCGGGGAGAAAGTGAAGGGGTGGGTAGTTAGTGGAATAAAGCAGGTTGGGTTTATGGGAAGCAGGAAGAGAAGGGAGTGAGGGTTGGGCAGAATGGGATAGACAGTAAAATTCCAGCGGAAAAAGAAAGCCATGGCAGTAAAGACCTGGCCCAGGGCACACACTTATTCCACATACATTCTATGAGAATTGCAAACACTGCAAAGCAACACGTAGAGCCACGCAGGCTGGTGTTCAGGACACTTACCCTTCACAAGCCAGCCTGGCCCTGGGCCACACGTGTAAGTGCTCAGGACCTAGCCTTTCCCACGTACCCCCGGCCTGTCAGAGGAGGAGGCAGACAGCACTCCAAAAATCTGCTCTCCCCACCTGCAGGGGAGATGAGGGGCCGCACAGCAGCCTATAAACCACACACACTGTGCATTATCACAGCAATAATAACCATTCGCCTCGCAGCAGGGAAATCACATGCACACATACAGGTCCCACAAGCCCTTTGGATACCAGGGAAACTTGGGACGAGGTTGACGGGGACATGCGTCTCCTAGTACACCACATTCAGGGGGCACCATGGCGTGTCTGGGTACAGCAAGCAGTGAATGGAGCGGAACCTGCAAGAGAGGGAAAAACCAGCGATCAGCACCCGAGTCAAGACCTGCTAACAACACTTACACCTCTTTCCCATAGTTGCATGCAGCAGCCGTGCAAAGGCTAGTTCTTTGAGGGTCTGTCTACACTGCAGCTCAGAAGTGGGACTGCAGCACGTGTAGACAAACCCGAACTAGAGCAAAGCTAGCTTGAGTAACAATCGCAGTGAAGCTGCACCAGCATGGGTGGTGGCCATGTGAGTATGGACCCAGGATCCTACGCTGGCAGCTTACAGCTAGCCCAGGTACGTCTACAAGTGCTGCAGTCCCACCTCCTGATTGCCTGAGGGTCATTTCCACTGCTCTTTGCCTGCCTTTAAAGCCCAGGCTTCCTCGTTGTATGGGGGTAAAAGGAGGAACACGTCTGATTGAACACGAATGTGGGGGTCTGAGGAAGACGCAGCTCACCTGGATGGATCCTCATCAGCGGAGAAAGCTCCCTTCATGTGGATGGAATTCCTCTTGTTTTCAAACATGCCATAGCTCAGCGTCACCTGGAGAGCACAAAGGTGAAGGTGTTGCTAGGGCAAGACGCTGCTCTTGACAGAGGGGCAGCCTGGTCCAGTAATTAGGGTACTAGCCGGGACCTTGGAGACCTGGGTTCCAGATCGTGCTCTGCCACAGACTTCCTATGTGACCTCGGGCAAGTCACTGCATCTCTCTGGGCCCCATCCGTACAATGGGGATAACAGCCTTGCCCTGCCTCACAGGCATGGTAGGAGAGCAAATACATGAAAGATTGCAAGGCACTCAGACACTATGATGAGGTACAGTAGCGAGGTCACTGTCTCATTTACAGCACTAGAGAAAACCCCAAAGGAGAGCTCTAGCAGAGATAACCATGCCCCCTCCCGGGGGTTTGGAGCCTCCTTCCTGCTGAGGTGGTGTCATTATGGGTTCAATCACAGGTTCTCAAGAGTAATTTCCTAAGTTCCTGGTCTTCCTGGCCCATCGTGCACTGGGGTAAGAGGCCTGCTGCTCATTGCACACAGCTATCCTGGTTCTGTGCTCATGCAGGAACAGGTGAGAACAGAAATAACCCCGCTCCCCTGTTCTACCTGTGATCATTGCCAGGGCTCTAGGATCTGACTATGTGGCGCTTCCCTGCCTTTGCACTAACTCTAAAGTGCTTCTTGGATGCAGCCAGGTTTACCTGTTTGTGAATCTCTGTCTTGGGCACCTGGTGGAGGTTCTCCAGGTGGGAGTGGAAGAGATTACTCCGGATAAGCTTCACTCCTAGCACGGACTCTATGATGTACCCGATGGTGCAGTCATCTGGCAGGCGGATCTTCTCTGCTGTGCTCATGAAATGACCCCCACTGTAGGAGACAGAAGGGAGCATGTGAGTTCGCTCTGCACCGAGTTAACTATCCTCAACGCTGCGCCAATGGGTCCCAACCCGGAGTTGGAGACACGCCCTACCTACTGATGGGGCGGGGGTAGGAGGAATTCAGCCTCTCTGCCCTGTCAAATGACCTCAACCCTGGATTACAGAGAGAAAGGTCTTTAGGACTAGAGCAATTTAGTCTCCCTCCTAGCTTCTTTGTGGGTCTCTTCTGAGCACCCAGCCGGATGATGTGGACTTCAGACCACTAGATATTGGGATGGAATCAACCAAGCCCACAAAGAGTTGGACTTCAGGAGGCAGTTGAATTTCAAGTCACCAGTGATCTTTGATCTCCTGTGTCCTCCCCCATCCTGATCTGCACAGAGGTAATCCAGGACTTTCTAGAAGTCTTATGAAACATCAGTGCCAAGTACTGATCTCCTTACCTCGCCCACGGGCTCATCTTCAGCGCCAGCCCGCGACTAATACAGAAACCTGCTCCCCCAGTGGCAAACCAGAAATGAACAGGATGCTGCAAAAAAGACAGAAGGAAAACAGCGAGGCTTAAAACCAGTCCTTTTCCCTGCCTCCTCATGGACTTCTTACTAATTTAGGCAACACAAAGAGAATTCTCCCCAATTGTCTCGACTGCTCCCGAGTGGGTTAAACTGACCCAAACCTCCATCCGCACACAGGATGCACAGCCAAGCCTGGTGCTGAGGAGTGGGTCCCTGTTAAAGTACATCTCCATTCCGAAACGATAACATTTTTCAACATATCACCAGCTCAGTGAAAGCTGGAAACCCTCCTCTTTGGGCTCAGCATGCCGCTGGACTTTTGCCTCCTGTTAGCCCTAGTAAACCCACTGTCCTACTCTCTTACCATCTTGTTCTCACTGATCCTCTCTGTGGCTTGAATGGGTCGGTCCAGACTAGGTTTGCCGATGTAGATGTCCTGTGTGTGGGGGTAGCCAGACAGCAACTTCACCAGGGTCCGGACATTCACATAGTTATCGTCATCCACATGGCAAAACCACCTGGAGCAACAGAAGCAACCCAGTTAGTCCGGTAATACTCAGCACTCCCAGAGCTCCTTCCAGCAGATTGCTTTACAACAGTAGATAGCAGTTATCCCCATTCGGCACAGGGAAAATGAGGTGCAGAGAGTTTGAGTGATTTAATCAAGGCCACGCAAGCAGAACCCACTCCTAACCCCCTGCACCAGTCACTAGCCCATTCTGGGGCAAGGCCTGTCCGTGGAAACGGAAAGAATCAGGTAGCCACATTGTAGCTGGTCACCAGAAGGCTCTCCAGCTTGAGTCCTCCCCTGCATTCCCAGCACTTTCACCTGGCCACACACGCAGTCTCACGTGTGTACAAACTGGCATGCATACGGACACACCCCACACGCACTCTCTCGCTCGCTCGCTGTCTTTCTCTGGACATTAATTTCCTTCTTACTTTCTCCCGGACTCGATGAACTTGTCGTATTCCACGGCCATCTTGCAAGACAAAGCCTGGCGGCTGTGGGCGGCGGAACAGTTGGTGTTGATGACATTGGCTGTGGTGGGAAGAGGGTGGGGGAGAGAAAAGGGACAGTCAGTCCGATGAGACTCTCTCTCTCGCGCGCCAAAAACACAATCTATCTGCTTGAACGAACAAAACTGCCTGTCCACCACCCAAGGCTGCCCAGGAAGCAGAGGTGTCAGGGAACAGCCCCCTCACTGAGTGCAGGGTTCACAGACAGCAGCAGGGGCAGCTACTTTCCTCGCACATAAAAGGGAAGGGTGGGGCAGAACGAAGACAGGCCAGAAAGATGCCAGACAATCCTGTTAGCCTCTCTGCAGCTGGCCCAGGAAGGCCAAGACCCCCCTAACCTACAGCATGGCTAAGGCCAGCAATCTTGGATCCTAATGAAAAGAATACGGCCGTATTTCACAGGCCTAGTCCAAGACACTGCAGTGTTCTGTACCGGGATTGCATATCCTTATAAAAGGCTTGGCATGGCCACTGTCTAAAGTATACAGCAGAGAGCGTCCTCGGGGGAAAAGCCTGGAGTCCTCAGGGAATTGTTTCCAAGGCTGTGTGAGATCTCAGCACTACCCGTGCTAAGCACACATTGGGCCACCACATCCCTGCATTGCAGGGCTGTGCACTCAGCCCCCAGAAAGGGGGCGGGTGGAGCCTGTGAACTGGATCCTCTACTGGGGTCTGTTAGCCAGAATCCTGGCCTATTCATGCTGCATTTTCCCAGCACCGGCCACCTGTTATTTGCTGGGCCATCTCAAAGGGAATTGATTCAGGGCCTGAAAGGGAATCATTTACAACAGAAGAATAGGGAGGGCCTGCCCCAGACTCGAGGGGAGGTGCTGCTGAATAAACACTCACTGAGTAAGTCCCTTTCCCGCCCTCTGTGGAAAGCTACTTGGGTTCCAGTTAATCACAGCGCTCTGATGGGAAAAATCCCTAGAAAGGCACCTTGTTGCTCTCCAGTGCCTCAGAAGGGAGACACAGGATCAAACCGCTACAGGGCAGATGGCTGCACTGACCGCTTCACCAAGGGCAGGTGGGGGAAGGGACGGCGGCAGCATCGTTTGTGACCTCCATTATCTCTGATAAGGGAATCTCAGCTGGGTATCTTCCCCAGAGGCCACCACTGTAACAAACCGCCTCGTTCTCAGAGCAGCGTTCTCCTCCCCCTGAGATCCTCAAGGGGGCGCCACCACCGCATTCAATTTCTGCCCCGGCCTTGAAACCCACCTCCTGAGTCCTGGCTTGGAGTAAGATGAGGCCAAAGGGCACAGTTGGGGTGCTGTGAATTAGTAAAGGGGCGGCCAATGATTTCAGTGGTGTCACACTGACGTAACAGAGGCCCAGAGAGCCACAAGTGCCCAGCACCCACCAGCTCCCTTTGTGACACACAGGGCCAGCTTTTTCAGAACAGGTCAGCGCCCAAACTGCTCAGCTGGCTTGAAAATCTGGTTGCCTGTTTTGCGCCTAAATGCGGTTTCAAAAATCTGGTGCCAGCTGTGGGCGCCTCTGAAAATTCCAGCCCAAGTGCAAAAGTTGGCCCCTTTTAAGTATTTAAAAAAAGTTTTCTACCATCTAAAGCTCCCCCCATCCCACCCCCCCAGATGGTTTAGTCCCCTCGTTCCTGAAATCATGGAGCGGGAGGGAGGGAAGTAACCTGGAAGGCTGAACTAGTCCAGCCTCAGAGAGCAATGACGTGTGCATCTTGCGCTTACTGCTGGATTCAAAGAGCCCACTGAGGTGCCTAAACTTCTACCAGGCTCGCGCCAGCCAGAAAGGAGACCAGAATGGGATTGGTTGACTCACCTGTGCGTTTCTTCAGTTCTTCATCCTCCCCATCGGTGAAGATGAAGGTCTGAAAGAGACGATAACACGTCATTAGAATTGACATAACACGGGCCTGCGGCTTTGTGCCTTTTCCCCTGGGGGAATTTACTTCTGCTGCATTCCATTTTCCAAAGATTTCCAGGCAGCAGGTGCTGCTGGAGGAAAAGGGCCTGCAACTGACCATGGCTATTGCCCGACCACCCTAACTGCGGGGTAGGAAAGGGCAGAAAGTGACTTCAGCACTATCAAGGCCTGCTGGAAGGGGGTGTTGATCAAGCTTTTTGTAATGGTTCTGTCTTAGCTGCACTAGAGGCTAAACCATTCAATACCAATCAAGGGGTCAGGGGGAGTGGCTGCTTGTCACTCATTTCTTCTTAAGGCCCAAACCTTAACCCTAGATCCAAGCACCTCTGAACTAGGAGGCAATTTGGAGGCCAGCTCTGTGGCTCCAGCCCATCTCTGCTTCTCTTTAAGGAAGCTATTGGGTTAAAAATCTCAGCCTAATGAACATATTGATCACAGCCCATCATAGAGCTAGGATAACAATCAATACACTCATTGGAAGTGGGGAAGGGGGTGGGCACCAGGGCTGGGAGCTGGGATCGCTGGACTGAAGGAAATTTTGGAAAACGGTAGAATTTGAAGGCTCTCACAAACACACACAGCAAACTTCCTCCCTGACAAGAGGGAAAGGTGCCTAAGGTTTCACCCTGAAAGCAGGTGTTTCCCCTTAAAAGTAGCTGGGGTGAGATGCACACCCACTGTGCCTTCCTCTGCAGGGAGCCACGTGTCCTCATTTTAATCCCCATCTCTGCCCACCCCCCGTAAAAAAAAAATAAACAGCATAGAAGGCCTGACCCTTTAACAGCAAAGGGTTAAAGCTTCCCTTCCCACAGGGGAAAGAAAATGGAAACAGTGTCTGCACCACCTGCTTCCCAACCTCCTCTGCAGTGGAGGTGCCGCTCCCCCCCCCAGTTTGAGCTGCAGTCACAGTTACTTGGGTTTCAACTGTGTGTGTCTGCCCAGATCTCTGGAACGTCATTTCACTGCCAGTGCCCAAGCGTGTAACAACATGGGCCTTCAGCACAAAGCCACAGGGCAAGGGGCACAACCTAAGAACGCAGCGGAGGCAGCCGCTTGCAAGGCGGTGGCCTTAGTTTCTTTAATTGTATTGAGTTTTCCATGATCTTGCTGTTACGCTACAGCAAATGCGGTGAATAAGCACCAGTCCCAGGCAGTGGGATTGCACCAGATAGATGTGGGGTGGAGGGGAATGTGGGGCTGAGTGGAGGGACCTACAGTCACCTGTAAGGAGATGCAGCTGAGCTGTGGCCTCACTTAGAGAGACAGCATACTAAGGAATCACTCTTGCTCCCATTGAAACCAGTGGGGTTCTGTCACTGACGTCAGTGCTGGTTCAGGCCCTGAGGTTCACGCGTGGAACTGAGTCCTTCCAAAGGCTTGCCCTGCTCAGCCCACCTGGCTCTGCTAAACAGTGTGTGCACCGGCCTCTGCACGGCTATAAGCAGGTGTGTTTGCACTGCTTGCCCATGGTGTGCGGAGGCGGTCTGCTGGCTTCATCCCACACCTGTGTCAACAGCATGCACCCACTTGGCTCTGTCCCGGCACCCTGAGCTAGCACCTCCCCCCCCCTTCTGCGGCCTCCACGGCCCGTCTCATAGCCTTTGTTTATTGAGTTGGAGGTCAGGTGGCAGCAGCTGTTCAGCTCTGGCACGAGCCCGGCTTCGCCCAGCTTGTGGGGCCGGGGTGGCAGCCTTGATCAATGCAGCTCCCTGCACCTGTCTGTGCGCTGGTGTGTGCAGAGCGGGGCGCACCTCCACCCCTGCACTCAGCCAGCTTCCCAGGTAACTGAATCGCCTTCAACTGCCGCTTGGCCTGGTGCCCAACGGCAAACTCCACACACACACACCCCAATTACCTGAGCCACCTGCCTGGCTGCACTCCCGTATTTACATAGCTAATTCTCAGCGTATGTTGGCTGGCTCCAGGGGACCATCTTGCTGGTTTACCCTGGACTTTTTGGGGTGGGGAATGGGGAGGAGGGAGGCAATAGAGGGGGAGGGAAGGGTGAGAAAGCAATCTCAATCAATCAGCGTGTAGCAAACAAAGCCAGAGAGAGAGAAGAAACCACAACCAGCTGCCAAGCGCTGTAAAAACCAGACACGCACAAAAGCGCAAAGGAAGAAAGACAAAGAGAAATTGGAGGGGGGGGGGGGCAGAGGCCTGGGAATGATGAATTACAAGTGAACTGGAAATTCGTCGCCACCCATCAGTCAGTCCGGCCCCGCAGTGGGCTTTTTTTGTTCTAGAAGTGGGGACAATAGCTTGAATGCGTCTGCCTGACTTTACTCAGGCCAGGAGAGTTAAGCAGCAATGTGTTTGCTCCCCCATTAGCATACAGCTGGGCTGGTTAACTCAGGGGAAGAGAGAGGGGAAGCCAAGTTTGTTTGCTCAGGTCCCCGGGGCAGGGAAGTGGCTGGGAAGAGCAGACATTACAGGGCTCCTGAATGGAATGGGGGGCTGGGCTCTGGGCTCACTGGGGGGGTGGTTGCAAGTAGCCTTTTTGGTATAAGAGAATAGAGCTGATCTGAGGCATGAAAGCCAAACTGCCAATGAGAGCGTGTAGCCATCAAGCAATTGCATATGTGCCAATGCTTCCAGGAAAGGCACAAGATGGCTCGGACAGACAGCACCTGAGACCAGGGGGTGGAGGGCAAGAGTGCGCATGGGCTCTGTTCCTTCCCTGAGAAAGGGGATCCCGCATGGGGGGAACCTCAAACAAAGGGCTAGATGGTGTTACAATGCCTAAGAGGAGTTTGTTACGCAAAGCAAAATAAGGAGGCTCAACTCTCAGGGTTCACAGCATTAGCTGCTCAGTTACAGGGACCATGGAGGAATGTCCCTTCTCATAACATGGGCTAACAGGCCTGGGGCAGTAAGTTGGAGGGAGTGTCATGGAGGGCAGGGCATATGCATCACCTCGCTGTCAGGGTCAGCAGCAGGATGTGGCACTAGTGGTGGTATGGCCCATGCTAGGTTCGGGACTGGGGAATGGGACAGTACGACTTGGCACAAAGGCAATCACACACCTGGCCTTGGGGGCATGGAGGGAAAGGGCAGGCAAGAGAGACACACTGGGACTGGGGCCTTCTCCTGATTGAAGGAGTCTATAAAGCCCCCACCCCGAGGAGGCGCGAGGCCTGTGGCTGCGCCTGCATTCTGAGATGAGTTTGTTTGGTCTCAGTCACGGTGACTGCCGAAGGTGTGCACCCTCCCCCCAGCACTTGCCTTCCCCTCCGCCCAGTATCCATTTAATCAATCTCTTTGGAATGTATCAAAGGGGGCCAGCAGACGGGGGCGGGACACCAGAACCCTTGCAGGATACCCACTGGGGATTTAATACAGAGGAAAATGTTTGCTTGATTAGATCAGGAACACTGTCTCCAACAACTGTCTTTGCCTGCTCTGAAAATAACCCCCAAACTAATCTTCCAGCTCAGCTGCTATAAATAGACCAAAGTGGACATTTGTTTATTATTAGCCAGCATTGAAAGTTGTTATTCTGATGATGCCGCCCCTCCCACCCACAGGAGACCATATAACTATCTCCTGGCCTCTCAGAGAAGCACTCTGCCATTCCTCCTGGCAGGCAGGGAACTGCACGGCCCCTTGGAAGGAAACTCCGGAAAGTCAGCCTGCCCGCCTGTCTCCCTGCTGCCTGGGCAGGAAGGGTAGAGCCTGCACCCAGCCCTACATGATACCTTGGAGGGACTATCTTGCCTTTGCAGGTTCACCGCCTCCCACCCCCTTCCTGCATCTCCGCAAAGCAGGAACCCAGCCAGAAGGTTCAATTAAAACCAAAACAATGACAGCCTCTCTCTTTTTTTTAATTAGCTTGTCTACATTTCTTGTAGATGAGATCTCCCGTTCCTGTGACCTCCCCCCTTCCCGGGCAGGTTTCCAGGATCCACTATAGGACACAGGGCTCTATAGGCAGGTCAGCTGGGAGGAAAGATGTCTGGGGAGAATGGAAGGGAGGAAATAGACCAGAAGAGAGGAAAAGTGGAAAAGAAAGGGGGATGGGTGCGTGTATGTGTTTGCCGCCAGGATTACAACAAAGCCAGGGGATTCGCTGCCTCTCAGCGGCACACTTCATCCTCCTTGGGCCTGGAGAGTCCCCTCTTTAAGGCAGTTATAGGCTCAGATCTGCTATGTGGTTAGATATTCAGTGGATGCAGCACCCCATCCGTAACACTCTCCCCTTCAATTTAGATCCTCTGATCTTTGTGGCTGCTGGGCTCTTCATTAGAAGGAGACTGGGGCTGTGGGGGTGGAGGCTGGGCATAGGTAGCACCATGCCCACAACACTCAACTGCTCGCTTAGATTAAAAGCTTTTCTAGTCTCTCTCTGCACGTCCCAGATACCCGAATCTCCAGCGGTGATGCTCAGATCACCCTCACAGGGAGAGAGCCAGGGCATGTGCACAGCTGAAGCTCTCTTGCTAAACCACAACAGAACCTTGCACATTCCCACTGATGACTTGAGACCCCCCAACACGTATTTTGAAGCTGCTAGGAGATGGATACAATGAAAAGCCAGGACAGTGCCTCCCAACATGGTCTTCGTTCGTTGGGCAGCCTCATTTAACACTTGAAGAGCCTTCGTGGGGATCCCAGCAAATACACAGCAGCAGTGCATTGTGTAAAAGCCACAGTGTCCCAGCCAGAGGGAGCTCACTACAGCGTCTGCAAGGAAATCTTTGGTGATAGGTGGGGAGATGGTTGATTTTTTGTGTAAGCCGTAAGGTGCGAGGATTAGTAGATGCACGGATTAGCACACGTACGCACACAGTGCATCTCTCAGCTCTGAGCCAGATTCCCCTCTCCCCCACGGTAACTCCCCTGACTTCAGTGCAAGATGCTGGACCTGAGCAAAGTTACTCCTGATTGACAGTGGTATAAATGGGAGGTGAATCAGGCCCTGTAGGCCTCAGCTCAATCGTGAGT